CCCAATAAATGTGGTAATTGTATATAAAGCGGTTATCATTATTGTCTTTTAATAATGTAAAAACATGAAAATATAAAAATGCCTCTAATTCAGCTCAAAAGATAATATAACCAAAAAAATAAATAAATAAATAAACAAACAAATTCGTGACATTAAAATTAAGTTAAATTTTTTTTAGACCAAATTTTATAATTTATGGTAGCAAAGGCAAATAAACAACAAATTGCTATTGGCCATGTTGATTGTCGCTTGTTAGCTCATCCGTTAGCTAAGGGCTCTTGACTATAGCTTCGGATAGGTAGATTGTCTAATTTACTCACTGCATTACTGTTTGTGGAAGCTACTCGGCTAAAACATAAATCGTTTATCACACACGGAAGGCTATTAAGATAAAAAGATACGACTAGGATTTACGTCTATTCTCTTCTAGTTCTGTGGGACGCACAACCAAACGATATGCCCAACGCGCAGCTACTAAACGGTGAATGCGCGCCGATTCAGCTCGAGAGCCCCGAAACAAGTGAAACACATACTAAAGTACAAAATCGTATTAATTCATCAAAACAATTAAAACGAAAAGAAATCAAAAAAATGCAATACCATATATCATTTCTATATAATATGTACATATGTATACAATGAAGTTTCGTACACCAATTCATACTTGCCTGACTCGTATATCCAGAATTTGAAGATTAATGGCATATTGATTCTGAGGTTCGGCTATACATATTATTTGCGATCAGAGCTTTAGGCGAACAGAGATTATGCATTTAGTAAAGACTCCAACCAAAAATGAAAACTGCTTTGCAATTTTTAGATCATTTACTAGCTATTTAAATGTAGGTGACCTCAGAATTTATATATTTGCGAATAAAAGAAGGCAAGGTACTTTTTAGAGCACTTTAAAAGATAGTCAAGACACACAACCAAAAATTGAAATTCTGTACGAAGGCACTGCGCACTGCAGTCTAGACATTAACCTTATATGCGTTTGCTTTTAGTCTAGACAGCACCCAGCCTCTCAACAAAAAGCTATCTGCTAATTCACTCAATCAACTGAATTAAGTGCTTTAAAGCGATCTATTTGCCTTAGGAAAGCTTGCTCTCTTTGATTGTCTCTCTTCTGCTGACTCTTCGACTGCTTACTTCCACATATACTTTTACTGCTCACCTAATATTTTTTGTTTTTATTCCTCGTCCAAAAGCTGTTCATAACAGACGTGGATTTCGCTCGTCTCTCTTCAAGCAAAAAAAAAGCTATCCGGCAGCGGCAGAGAAAATGTTAAAATATTTTCATATATAATTCAATAATAACACACCATAACTAATTAAATGTGTTTCAAGTGCAATTTTATTCAATTTTTCAATTTCAACCGGTTTTCATAGAAAAATTTTCCCACTTTTTAATGTGCAGTAAAAAGTGCCGCGACAAATTTGTTAAGCAAATAAGTTATCTTATATTTTATATATAGAAATTAAATTTACATATAAATGTGTATGTGTTTGTATAAGTGGTTGTTTATTTGTTTTATTGCTATATATTAATAAACAAATAGATTAAAACAAAACGCAGTGCGAAACAAGAGGAACATAAATATCAAGCAATAATAAACCAACACCAACAACAACGACAACAATAGATAAAAGCTAAACAACTATGGTCTACTCCATAAAGGTAAACCCCAAAACAGAAACATGTCCCCTTTCTTTGTTCCTCCGCCCATGTCTAAAACTTGTTGCTAAGATTTAGACCAAAAATGACGCTGTCTACTTTAAACTTGTTTCTTAGACTTTTACTCGCTGCCATCATCGATCGAGTGAAAGATCTCTCAATGTGTGCAATGTATAATGTATAAATCCTTAATCATTTTCTTGTTATGAAACAGCGGCGCGATATCGCCGAGCACACTATACTATATACATACATATGTGTGTATGTATGCTAGATAACTATCAATAAAGCCTAGTTAATGCCAGAGGCGTCTGCATTTATGCAAAATAGTTTTAGAAGGCGGCTCTGTCACGGGCGATTTAGTGTATATGCATGTCGGATAAAGCCCGGATTGTATGAATATTTAGTTCTACATATAGCACCTAAATTAGCTTAGAGTTGTTTAGTTGCTATAGGAAGATATAAGCTTCCGGTAGACTATAAAAGCTTAAGCATAGCCCTTACCGAATCGTATTGTCGAAATAGGCAATTGTTTCTAAAAAAAAAAAAAAGTATATAACAAAAGTGTAGCTGTACTAAAATATACTTTTGGGGAACTTCCTCACACTTCGAATATCCCTTAGTCACAAGTAAAGCTGTTGTTCAATCCCAAAGTCACTCTTTTTGTGCAAGCAGACCTTAGAACAATTCTATGCGACCTATAAATAAATATTACTAGCAATTATTTATTCAAGCGAATGCGAGACATGTTAATTACCATTCGGTCGCTTTGCCTGGCTGGTCACTATATGGAGCGTTTACTGTGACGTAGGCATTGCCCTGCTAATCGGAGTGATTGACTTTGAATATTAGTTTCCTGCTATGGCCAGATAGTTTATCGTCAAATTATATCAATAACATTCATTTCATATATTTCAGAGAGATCTCCTTGTAACTTGAGTGTGCTGTTGATCTAAAATCAATAACTAATTATAAAACTACAGAACATGTTAGCTAACATGTACGACTGCTTTTAGAGGCTGACGTATAAACAATTTAATTGCATAGACTAAAATAATTATAATAATAGTCTCTGCCATTAGGGCCGAGTCGTGATCTCCAGTATAGAATACTGTTTCCATTTCCTATTTTCCACTTTTTTGCTGACCCTTTCAACTCGCATTATTGTTGCACGCGATCTCTCAGACCCGTTACTGGTAGCATGTACGATTGATCCACAGAATAGATGCTCAAGTTGTCAATTAAGGGGCGTAGCTCAATCGAACAAGTAGACCTTAGAGATCTAGGCACTCACCTCAACTGCTCCGACATAGGTATTCTATAAGTTGCATACTTAATGATAAGCCTCAAACATTTCATAAGCTACCTGGCGCCGTATCTCAGGTCTCGCTGATAGCGATAAGTCACTATAAACATTATTATTATTATTATTATTATAGTTGTCGGGCTAGCCTATGTCGCTCTGGACAACAATTTGTATGGTTAGTGTCTAGCTAAACATGACGGTGGTAAGATGTTTGTGATGAAAACTATTTCGTACACATTGGAAATATTACGCAGAATACCTAGGTCTATTTGAAATGAATCATGCGACACGATCGGTACCTTGGGGGTGCCGTTATCAGAAAAGCTAGTCTCGGTTATTTTTGGTACAATAACAAAGGAATAAAATAACAAAATACTTTTGATTTGCCAGCTGCTCGATCGGTGCCATAAAGAGAAACGGCAAACAATTTCAGATACGAAGGGAATTTCATTATAAAGCCTTTTGAGTAGTCACCTCTGTAGACCTGGGAACAAATTTGCACTAAATATAATTATTACTCTATATTCTATAACTCTTCAACTCATTTCTATGTTTTCCCGTTTATAGAACAGTGAAACGGGTGAATTCGAGTATTTTTACACCGACTCAGCGCGCATCAAGCAGCCGAAATATGATGAGGAGACAGGTGAGCCGGTTAACGATCAGATGAAAGTGCGCTATCGCAAGCACGGCAACTTCCACGTGCCCAAGCGTTATTTGCGCGGCACCATCTGCGACGAGGTGGACAACGTATTGGCCAACAAACACCACGAGGACTGGGATATTACAGCAAAGCATGTGATCGGCAGCAAAGCCATGAAGAGCACTTCCAATGAAAAGAAAACGAAGCCCGGCTACGAGCGGGAGGATTACATCAAAATGGATGGCGTGAGCAGCGTAAGTCGAACATGGTATTTCGCACAATCCTAAGATAATTAACTAACAGCTGTTTTTATCCGTAGAACATCATATTGGGCTATGAACGCAACTCCTTCCTGCTCTTCCTGATACCTACGCTCTTCTCCTGGAATATCTTTCTGTGGGGTCTGCTCTCTCTACTGGAGATCGGGCTGCACATGATGTCGCACTACAAGAACTCCCTGACCATGCAGAAGACTCTATATTTTCGCAGTCCGCTTCACGTGCTCTCCTCACAGTTCTGTGCAATCTGTCGCAACGAGTCGGGCAGCAAGTACAATCGNAGAAACGGCAAACAATTTCAGATACGAAGGGAATTTCATTATAAAGCCTTTTGAGTAGTCACCTCTGTAGACCTGGGAACAAATTTGCACTAAATATAATTATTACTCTATATTCTATAACTCTTCAACTCATTTCTATGTTTTCCCGTTTATAGAACAGTGAAACGGGTGAATTCGAGTATTTTTACACCGACTCAGCGCGCATCAAGCAGCCGAAATATGATGAGGAGACAGGTGAGCCGGTTAACGATCAGATGAAAGTGCGCTATCGCAAGCACGGCAACTTCCACGTGCCCAAGCGTTATTTGCGCGGCACCATCTGCGACGAGGTGGACAACGTATTGGCCAACAAACACCACGAGGACTGGGATATTACAGCAAAGCATGTGATCGGCAGCAAAGCCATGAAGAGCACTTCCAATGAAAAGAAAACGAAGCCCGGCTACGAGCGGGAGGATTACATCAAAATGGATGGCGTGAGCAGCGTAAGTCGAACATGGTATTTCGCACAATCCTAAGATAATTAACTAACAGCTGTTTTTATCCGTAGAACATCATATTGGGCTATGAACGCAACTCCTTCCTGCTCTTCCTGATACCTACGCTCTTCTCCTGGAATATCTTTCTGTGGGGTCTGCTCTCTCTACTGGAGATCGGGCTGCACATGATGTCGCACTACAAGAACTCCCTGACCATGCAGAAGACTCTATATTTTCGCAGTCCGCTTCACGTGCTCTCCTCACAGTTCTGTGCAATCTGTCGCAACGAGTCGGGCAGCAAGTACAATCGCACCTTCGACATACTCAACGAACAGATGCGCGTGGCKCATCGCACCGCATTGAAGAACATGGCCAAGGCCATAGGCTGAGTTGCAAACGCACTTATAGCTTCAACAATTGTAAAACCATTTTACACTTTAATGGTAATAAAAACAAACGATTATTGTTTCACGTTTAACAACAATAAATGCACAAATATATCACCTGAGTACCTGAACAGTATTTCTAAATAGCCTTCTTTCTAATCGCAATCGCGTTCTAAACGGATATCTGTCCCATGGGCTTAACGTTGGGCGAGACGCTGAACTTGGCGCCAGTGCAGGCCGCAATGTCGTCCACGGTGTAGCCCTCGCCGAACTCCAATAGGGTCAGACCCACGCCCTTTTCCACCTGGAACACAGCCTTCTCCGAGATGATCAAATCGACGACACCCTTGCCGGTCAACGGCAGCGAGCAGCTCTCAAGAATCTTAGGCGAGCCATCGCGGGCATTGTGCTCCATAGTGATGATGACCTTGGTGCCAGGTGCCGCCACCAGATCCATAGCGCCGCCCATGCCCTTCACGAGCTTGCCCTGCAACAAATGAATTACATTAGTGAGCTGAGTTGATTAATTTTAATCCCTCTCTGTGTCTCTCTTACGGGTATCATCCAGTTAGCCAAGTCACCTGTTGCCGACACCTCCATGGCGCCCAGAATAGTCAAGTCTACGTGGCCACCACGAATCATGGCAAAGCTATCGTCGGAGCCGAAATAGGCAGCACCTGGCACTACTGTAACGCTCTCCTTGCCTGCATTGATCAAATCTGGATCGACTTGGTCCTTAGTGGGGAATGGGCCCAATCCCAAGATGCCATTCTCCGACTGCAGCATCACGTTCATGCCCTGTGGTATATAGTTGGAGGAGAGAACGGGAATGCCAATGCCCAGATTGGCGTACATGCCATCGCGGAACTCTAGAGCCACTCGCCGAGCAATGCGTTCACGCAAAGCTTGTGCCGGACTGACCTCTGCCGCGGGCTGGCCTTGTCCTTTCGGCTCTGTGATGCGCAGACGCTCCACGCGCTTGTTGTAGTTGGTGCCCTTGAAGATGCGCTTCACATAGATGCCGGGCACATGGATCTCGTCTGGTGAGAGGGCGCCCACAGGCACAATCTCCTCCACTTCCGCGACCGTAATCTTGGCAGCACGGCACATGGGCGCATTGAAATTACGCGCAGACTTGTTGAAAATCAAATTGCCCAGGGGATCCGCCTTTTGAGCCTTGACAAAGGCAAAGTCAGCGAAAATGGACTCCTCCATGACATAGTTGCGGCCATTGAACGTTTTCACGGGCTTAGCTGCGCTCGACTCAATCACTTTGCCATTTTTGTCATACTTGATGGGGGCGCCGCCCTGCTGCACCAGTGTGGCATACCCAGTGGGTGTGAAGAAGGCGGGTATACCCGCACCGCCAGCGCGAATCTTCTCCGCCAATGTGCCCTGTGGCGTCAGTTCCACGGCTAGCTCGCCGGCCAGGTATTGACGCACTAGCTCAGTATTCTCGCCCACGTACGAACCAATTACCTTGGACAACTGTTTCTGTTTAATCAGCACGCCCAAGCCGCAATCGTCAACTCCTGAAGATAAGGTAGATAACGTTAATAAAAAGATTTACAAGAACTTGGAGGTGTAATCAGCTTTTTGCAATGGCTGGCAACTCTGACAGTAGGTTAATAAACCGACGAACTAGTTTTAATAATCACTTCATAACTGTATATGCCACCACTGTAAAGTGTTGGCTACATGTCCAGGCGTTTGCTAACAGCCGTCAGTGTTTCAATATACAAGCCACCACTGTTAAGCTAGCCTGCGAACCAGTTTCAGTAACTCCATGCTAAAAGCTGATATACTGTTATAATTTATTTACCTCCATTATTGGACACTCCAGTAATGTTCTTGACGCCCTTCTGCTTGAGTGCCTCAATCATCTTTTCGGGTATGCCGCAAATGCCGAAGCCACCAAAGAGAATTTTGGAGCCATCCTTAACGTCGGCCACCGCATCGCTGGCCGATTCGTAGATTTTGCCCTGGCGCTTGCCCGCAGTCGAGTAGCAGGCAACGAGCTGAAAATGGAAAGCAGGTGTGATCAGGTGCTTAAATTACATTCAGTTCTAGCACGTCATTTGCATACTTGTTTGGCACGGATTTATTTGTGGAGATTGTTCTATGTTGTTATTTGTGCGAAACTTACGTAACAAAGTAATTTTAATAAATTAGCGATGCGTGTGGGGTGGGGGAAACAGTTCGTGTGGGGCGACAGCAATCAAAATATCGCTTATCAACATCGTCAAGCAACAAGGCAGCTGGCCAAGCTGTCCCTAACGGGGCTTATCTACTGAATCTGAACTCCAACATTTTTATTAGTTCGACCTGTTGCGCTCTGTGTTTTCATTTTCGGCACAACAACATGTGGTTGAGAAACACCTGCCTTAATATTGTTTTTGCATTCCATTGCATATGGACCATACAAAGTATCTACATATGTTATTACATTATCTATTATGTATCTATATCTCGCTTACCTTGAACGTTAGGTTCTTGTTGCCCAGGCGGTTATATGCAACTAAGCCGCGAAACATGATGTTCTTATTTACACTTTAATAGTTAATATTTGCGGTTTAAACAATCAATTTAGCACTTTGATTGCGAGTTTCGCATAAGAACCCAACCGCGATCAATTAAAACCCAACACTGCCAGCTGCAGACTGAGCCGACAGCCTTAACAGTATCTACAATGTTATTAACAGCGCGCACTCACTGCTATCGATTAATCTGTACAGAAACGTAATATATCGCTAGAAAACTATCGAGCACAGCTGATTATTGCAATAACAAAGCAGTTTTCAAAACACTTTTGTTTATAACAATAGAACGCACGCACGCAACMATATACGCGCTCTAAGAGCAAAGATTCCTTTAATACCCAAGAAAAAATCACGCTAATTGTGAAATTTGTGAACCAAATGAATTGAACTTACAGTTTAAACCAAAATGGCGTATTAAATTGTTTTTGTTGCCTGAGGCTTTCGGTACTTTTTTTAATTCTTCATTTTTTTTCTTGTTTTTGTGCAAGGTCTGTTGATTTTGTGCTTTTATATACTATGTATTCATACACACTCATACATCACAGTGTCTATTTCATGACCAGCGTCATCAACAATTTACGCAGTTTATAAATTCAACTTTTTCGGTGTGAAAGTTGTTGATTTTTGTTGTTGTGGATTTGTTGTTGTGGATTTTATGTTGGTGTTGCTGCTGTCATCGCCCGATAAGCGAAGATTTATGATTGACAATCGGTCAATTCATTAATTATGTATTTTCTATTGATCAAGCGCTGAAGGGGCGTCGCGTGCAGTCTGCTTCTAGTTGGCTCTCTTATCGTCAATTCTGCGAGCATTAACCGTTACATTAACCGTAAAAGGCACGCATCATTGCCAGCTGTTTACTCTGTATGCTCTATACCGCCAGCCCCGTCGCTCCTCGGCATCAACAAATCATGCCACTGAGTACCCGGCTTTGGATTCGCTTGACAACCGAATACAGTGGCATTTGTCTATAAATAGCAAATCGAATAGTTTTCCTGCATCAGCAACAACAACAACAATATCAACTGTAAAAGTTTTCCATTGTCGTTCGTCCAAATAATCAGCTTCACCGGCCTCTGTCTTTCTGCTRCTGCTGCTACTGCAGCAGCTAATAATCTCAGCAAGTAAACGATGCATTTGCCCCGCCTCCACTCGGTCCCTCTCCCACGCATACGCACGCATATTTACACACAAATGCACTTAAATACTTATATTCGTAATTTACTTGTTTAATTACAGCTGGCAGGCAATCGCTAGCACTTTGCAGCCTTTCTCTCAGTTCTGTTCCAGCGCTTATTGCGGCCACAACGTTGTCCGATGCTCGAACCTGACAGCACATTAGCCGAAGAACTAGCCGTCGCCCTAGCAGCAGCAGCARTAGAAGACAGCAGGGAGCGTGCGTTCTGCCATGGCCAACGAGCAGCAGCCGCAGCAGCTGGAGGAGGAACAACGTCAACTGCTGCTGCAAACGCTGAACAGACTTTGGAGCCATTATCTGCACCCCTCCGACTCTGAGACAGTTGATAAGCAGACGGCGAGTGTCAAGGTTTGTATGCAACTCGGATATCAATTCAATGTGCACTTGCTCACATTATCAGCTACACTTGCAGGAACACTGGCTCTGGCAGCTGCTGTATCATTTCCAATACTTGGACGAGCAAACATTGCGAGATGCGCAGTTTAATAGGTAAGTGGAATGCAATAAGAGATAATTCAATATTAATTAAATTGCTCTACATTGCAGCAATTTCAATCAGCTGCCCGAAGAGCTCTGCTCTTATTTGCTGGAGCAGGTGTATCAAATCATCAGCGCAGCGAAACGTTCGCAGGAACCCGAGCAACCAGACAAATGCATCAAACAGCTGCGAAAACAGCATAACCTAGCCCAGGTGACTTATTTATATATATATACATATATTGANTTAATATAATATATTCTGATATGATTCATTGCAGCTTATTTTGAGCACACCCAGTGATTGCAATAAGATTTTGGCATTGAGAACTTTTCTTACTAATGGCTTGGGTCAACATTTGCTCGCCTTTCTGCTGCGCGTGCAAATCAAGGTAAGCCTAGTTGGACTCTGCTTGGCATAGTTCTTGTTATCAGTGATTGTCTTTTCCAGCACATTGCTTCGCAGAAGAGCCTCTGCCAGTTGTGCATCAATCTGTTTCCCAATTGCAAATGGAGTGCTGTAAATGCCCCGCTGCAGCCCCTGACCAGCATTGCACAGTTCATTAGTAGCTTTCACCTGAATTCGCAGCGCAATAAAACGCGTCGTCAGCAACAGCAGCAGCATCAACTACAACAGCAACCACAGCAACCACAACAACAGGCACAGCCCCAGCAACTGCAACAGCAACAACACCCCTTTGAGATTATTAGTAGCTTCAAAGAATTCAGAAATGCTTGTAAAACGAGTGATGAATTGGCGCTGCTGCTCATTCAGTTACTCTCGCGCTGCATCGATGCTGAGCAGGACCCGCAGCTCAGTGTAACGGTGCACAACTTTGCGCTGGGCCATTTGTGCAGCAGCTGTGTGGATGAGTGCGAGCAGGAGGCGRAGCTGCCCGGCAGCAAGAATGATGAGATAATTAAGTTTGAGCTACTGCAGCTGATTGCGCAGTGTGTCAACAATTTCTACATGCACGAGCAGCAGCCCAGCTCCTTGGACTTTAAYAGCCAGTGCAGCCAGCTGCTCTATGCGCTAGCTGCCAATCGCAGCAGTTCGGTGCTSTCACATGCTGTGCTCTACATTATATTTGGCACTCTGCACAATCTGGTGGAGTTCGGCTCTCAGCATCTCAATCAAATCGATGTGAAGCTCTTTGACGCCTGTTTCGATGTGCTGCAAGAGGCGGCCGCATCCACCACCTGCACCTCGCTGCTCTTTCTGCATATCTACAAGCTGCTGCTGCGCCTTACGGATCATCTGTCGCGCCAGGAACAGCAGCTGCAGTGCCTCATGGAGAGCAGCACCTCTAGCGCTTTGGCCAAGCAGCAGCAACAACATCAGCCGCCACGCTACAAGCGTCAGCGTCACAGCCAACTTCACTGCACGGAGCGCTCGCTCACCTGTTATTTCCAGGGCAAACTTTATCAGCTGTTGCCCAATCTGGTGCCGGAGCTGCAGGAGCACACCGTACGCTCGCTGCTCCGCACCGGCAGCTGCTGCTGCCACTACAATGCGACCAACTATGCCACCTGCCTGCGCCTGGCCACCCAGCTCTCTGGCAGCTATCAGAAGTGCACCTACAAGTTCCTCCATTACAATGTGCTGCACACCATCTTCGTGAAACGCTCGCCCCAGCATTGCGCCGTTTGCGAGGAGAAGCTCAAGTCGCCGGCATTTCACATGCAACTTCTGGGCATCTATAAGGACAACTAYCGAGCATTGTTGAACAGCRGCTCRATGCTGCTCTTCCTGAAGCATCTGAAGCATATTGCCTATTTACTATCGTATGATCTGGCCGCTGGCATTCTGGCCGAGGTAGCATTACCCATTTTCCGGCAATACAAACAGCTAAGTGAGTGCAAGACCAAGACGACTGGCGTGCATAAGCTGCCGCGCCTGCAGTTGCCCTGCAAGCTGGACAACTATCGCATTCTCCACGAGTGCCTCAGCATTTTTGTGATGTACCTGAGTGACATACGCCTCGTCAAGGCCTTCTACAACGAGGAGAACATTGGCTACATGCAGGACTTGCTGTGTGTGCCGGAGCTGCAGCGCGGCGTCTGTGATCTCATCAAGGTGGGCATCGATAACATTGCCTTTCTGGGTGACAACAGCCACGAGCAGATCGCGCTCAGCCGTCGCCTCATACAACTGCAGCTGAATAGCAGCGATCGCGCCTCACGATTGTTCCAGGCGCTGCTGCACCGATGCGCCAAGCGCTCGAATGTGAAATTCTGGCTGGAAGACTCGGCCAATACGTCGCTGTTAGAGGGTCACAAGCCGGTGGATATTCTATATATAACCGCACTCCAGTGGACGCTCAACTATGAGCTGCTCAAGACCAGTCAACTGTTCTACAATGAGTTTGCCAAAATCTACTCGATACCCGTGGAAATGACGGTTGACGATGACGACGACGCTGACGAGCAGCAGCAGCAGCAGCAACAACAACAGCCGCAGCTGGAGCAGGAGGAGAAATTGCGGCATGGCGATAAGACAATCATTGACATACTCAAGCTAAACTACAATGCACTAAGTTGTTTTCTAATGCTGCCAAAAGCCGCAGTCGCCGTAACCTCAACCGCAGCGACAACGCCAGCGACGACGCCGACAATGCCGTCCATTCGTGGCTCAAGTTCATTGGAGGCGCTCGTCTCGCAAGTACAGCTGCCGTTCAGTGTGATGTCAGCCTCCGCGACGACTGCAGCCAGCTCGGACTACGCCGATTCCTCCCTGGACTACGCCTCCATCATCAACAACTACGCCGAGCAGCCGGCATTGCCTTCCTTTCTGCAGCACCTGCAGTCTAGCCAGCCGGACGAGAGTATTGTGCTCTTCGACATACGCGGAAGCAAACCCAGTAGCAACAACATCAGCACCAACAACAACGTTGAATCAGTGCCACTGGCAGTGTCCAGCGTCGTGGCAGAGGATGAGGCAGCTGCTGCCGGACTAATTAGCAAGCTGTTCAATATTGTGGGCTCCCTAT